ACAAAGGTAGTGTTACAGGATAGAGTATCTTTTTAAAACGTACCAACCCGTATTGCTGATGGAGATTGTTGTGCAGTGAAAACAGAAAGAAAAATGGGGTTTTTTCTTGGTGTCATTGGCCGATTACTGAAAGACAAAAGGTGTCTCAACAAAAATGTGTAATTTGTTGTAAAAATGTGTGAAAGGCACATTGATTGAGATGTGGAATTTGTATCGTTGCAAGTTAGAGCCATGAAGAGCTGCATGGAATGTTAGTTAATATGCTAGGAATGTATAATTATGGTGATAAGACCTAATTTTGTTAATTCTGTCTTTTTGGGGGGCAATTTTATGATGCATAAAGCAAGATAATTGATACAGCTAACAGCAAGAATGTACTGTAACCATAACTTACAGGTGTGTTTGTCACTAAATTATGCTTCAAAAGAACTGCTTCAAAATGTTGCATAATGTCTCATAAAACTCCTATAAAAAATAATTGAAAGGTAATAGAGCATGGAAACACTATGTCCAAGTCCTCTACTATTCTAAGTTCACAGAGTTCTCATAATAAATGTTTCATACAAGCAACAGCTGCTACATAGCAGTAAATTGTGTGCATTTTGAACAACACACAGCCTGAACTCTGAGTTTGCTGTCTTTTAAATACCTATACAAATTGCATTTGTAAGTTAACCCTGGAGTTCATTTATGTTGATCAGCTTTGGCATGTGCAATTGACTGAGACGACGTAAATAACTGGGTGTTTGTATCATGCAAGCAAACAGCTATTTGTGCAAGTGGTTTGGACAGATCCATAACCAGCTGTCCTAGAACCTATGCAAAATCAGCAGCTCTGACCTAGATATAAGAACTCTTTGCTTTGGGAGCATATATCGCCCTTTTCTTAGTTTATTTGTTAGGTTGGGTTTTTTTTCCTTAAAGATGATCTTAAAATATATTAGATTTGGTTCCTTTAGAATGGTCCATGTTTTTCACTTGCATAGTAGCAGGACTGAAAGAGCTTGGAGCGCTTTGCTGTTAAATAGCAATCTGACCAGACTTCCACTGAGATCAACCGCGTGGGAGCACGGGCCTTTCCATCATATGTGTTCTGTGATTTGGTGGGGTGTGAAGCTGTAGCGAGCACCATGGGAATTCTAACACTGAATATGCAAAGAGGTAGTATGAATAGCCCTACTACTTGCTCCCATATCTTTTATGAAGGGCATTTCAGATCTACAGGGAAAGCAGCCATGGTTCAGTGAAAGCTAAGCCTGCTCGAGTCTGCTGGTTCATGAAAAGTAGCTGGGCATAAGACTACTGGAAGCTAGACCAGACCCCAAAACTGCTCAAAACACTGGGACAAAAGCCTTTCAAATCCCAATTGCAAGAGTTTGCTTATAGCTTTCTTTATCTTTACTCCTCTGCCACTGAGGTTTCCATTTGCCATGAGGCAAAGCTGAACCTGTGCTCTAGAGTCTAAAATGTTTGTTTATCAAGGCTGCCAGTTATATCAGCAGAAAGGCGTCTTTTGACTGGCAGTCTTTTCTAAATGGCCAGATATCTTAAAATAATACACAGGAGGAATGTTTTTCACTCAGAATATCTGTCACTGGTGTAGTTTTAGAAGTGGCTCAGCTATAGCTCTTCAAAGTATTTCATGGGCTTTTAATATATTCTACCCTTAAAGTCAGCTGGACTCAAATGTACTTGCACTGCAGTTAGAAAATTTACAGCATTTTGTTGCCTATGAAAATTTTGCGAAGGTGTCAGTGGGAGGAGAAGCAGACCCGTTTCACAGACACACGACTGACACCGGCGTCTTGATAAAGCGTGACTTTTAACAGTGAACTCTGTAGGAGTGCATGATTTTCCAAGATATGGCCTGATATCTCATAAATCATGTTTTGAAAAATGCAGTAGCTGTTCTGTACTCATTCCTTCCAGTTTACAAAATATTTCAGCCACATAGTTCTCCACTGGCTCTTCCACTGAGGGAAAAGCATAAAATATATTGGGGGTTAGTCATGACTACTTTCACTTGCCCCCACAGTCCATGCTACCTCTATTCAGCTCATATGCAGCACTCTAGATTTCAAGGTGCTAGCAAAGAATTGCTTTGTACAATGTTTGTTTGTTTAATTATTTAGATGAAATGGCTACTTTATATATTTCAATGATGCTACATGGAACAGAATGATTTCCCTGAGCTTTTTTGAAGTGGTCAGAAGTCTTGCTATTTCTAAGCACCCTTTAGGCCCTTAAAGTGGGATCCTCCTCCTCAAACTTCAGGTGCCTTGAAGTTGTGTCTGCTCTCAGGAAAGCCTGTGGGGTCCTCATATAGACAGTGTGGACTGTGGTTCACCCCAGCTGAAAATAATAGGCATCGAGGCTGGGTTGAGTAAGTGGGTATCTGGACATACCCACTTGTCTCCACTGACTGTAGAGGGAGCCAAGAAAATTTGCTAAGCCTGGCTTTGCAGGCTGGCAACTCCAGCTAAGTGGGAGAAGTCATACTTTAACCAGATGGAAGTTTTAGATGTTTAATGTTGACTTGAGTATTCTGAAATTTTGTACATGGGCTTGACATCAGTGGCAAAACTGTAGCCATGATAGAAACAATTAGACTGAGAGCCAGCCTCAGAAATTAGAAGTTGGTCACACACGACATTTTTCCCCCTTAACATTTTAAGTTTCGTTTCCAATCCTCTTTTATAGAATTCTTAAAATATAGTCAAGTATCTCTGCTTAAAAGACATCATAGATACCCACCCAGCCCACAAAGAGAGAGAATGGAGGAATGCTATTGCCACAGAGGGTTTCCATTAGTGAAATTAATTCCACTCTCATAAGAGTTTAGGTCTATGATTTATGATAACCACCAATTTCTTACTGCAGGCAAAGTGAGAGGAAATGACTCAGCCCGGACGACATCATGAATCTAATTTTTTTCCCCCTAATGCTTGACATAATCTAGTGTGCTGCTCCCAGAGGTGTCATTGGAGATTCATATCCAGCCGAAGGGCCTCACAATCAAGGCAGAAAATTTTGTTACTTTCATGTATTGTGTGATCTGTAATTGTTTGGAATTGCATCCTGCCTCATTCATTGCCATTTCTTTTGCATCAGTTTTGCAGCAAAAGAGTAAGGAAAACAAAGCAAGGGAAAGAAAAGCGATGTTGCACTTGCTCCTTCAGAAAAATCTTCTGTGACATAACATTAAGGTCCAGCTGGTGCTTATTAAACTCAGGCAGTTTTGCGATGAAAAATACTTCCTTCTGTCACTCTTTCCAATAGAAATCTCACTACCCACTTGACTGGAGAAGTCTTAATCTATCCCATATTGATTCTGGAACTTTATGTTTTGTTTTCTATCACTGATACAGAATTTTGTGAGTGGGCTTCTGCCAAAAGATCAGAATAGATACCATGTTAAATGGTTCAGCTACAATGTTTTATCCCACATTTCAAGGGACTAGGAGAGGATATTCATGTCTCAGCAGAGGAGGTAGTATCTAGCTGAGAGGAAGGTAGGTTTTCAAAAATCTTGCAGTTATAAATAGTCAGCTGAATACATCCTTACAAACTGCTTCCAAAACTGAGAAGAATAATAGATCTTTTTCTTAAATATAAAAGAATTTCTGTGTATTTCTCTGGTACAACCTCATTTAACATACAAGGAAGCAGAAGCAAAACAAATACCAAGATAGGGCTAAGCAAGAGTTCCCAGCACTTTTTTTTTTAAATATATTGACCGAATGTGAATCCTCTTTTCACAGGGTTGCTGTGTGTGTGAATGCCTGCTGATCTGTAGCAGCACACACACATGAAAATGGTCTGTTTGCCCCAAGATGACCTCTAAAAATGCCTAAGTAAATAGCTGTTATTTTCAGAAACGCTGAGCTTGCTCAGCTGCCTTTAAGTCACCTACGGTTTATTGGGGCTGGTTTGATCCCATTAAAAAAAAAAGCATAAAGCATGAAGGGAGGAGTAGTTCCGTATGTCAGTACTGTTCTGTGCGGTTGGTATGCCTTTCAGGCAAAAGCCAGGAAAGATGTAATACTGGGTTTCGATGATGTTTGAAAAAGGCAAAACAGTCTTAGTAAGGTCAACAGAATACATCTCTTCATGATTATTTGCCAATAATCTGTAATTGTAAGTTTTAACTGATGTTCTATTTAGCTTGTCTGTTCCACTCAATATGAAACTTTCATTACCATCCTTACTAGACCATTTTAAAACTGCATTTTTATTCTCCATTTCTGCTCCTGACTATAATTGTTCTAATGATGCTTACTGACAGCTGATACTTTCTGGCAAGCTCTCACAGAGCTTGTACAGTAAAAGTCAAATTATAGTGCTGTATGCACACGCTAAGTTAAATTTTTTTTTTTAAGTATTCCGTGGCAAATTTCTAAATTGCAGCTGCCAGTCTGCAAATTATTCAATCTCTCTGAACCACAATTGGTGAAGTTGCATCATTTGGGCTATATAAAATGTACTTCTGAATGTGTTCTTAGGCAATGAACTAGCAAAGCACGGAAGCACATGACTTCAAGACTCTATTGAACAAAGCTCAACTCTTTGGAGCCTTGATATTCTACTAAAATATACTCAAGGGATTAAAATAAATATGCAGTTGAGGTATCTTTTCATACAACCTGGATCCATAAAAGCAGGGCTATACAGGATAGAAGGGGACATAGCATGCTATTGAACAAGTTCAGTTCTTAATTTTCTCCAAGACTGAGTTTTTCTAGCAAACTGCCAGTAAGTTCCTCTCTCTAATGTTTTGCCATATCCGTGAAAGCCTCGTATGCGTAAGTAAATGGTACTCAGGTGAGAGGTCCCATTAAGGGACTGGAAGGGATTGCCCTACCTAAGGTTTGACCTCAGGATCATGTGGCTGTTGTCTGGTAGTAAGGCCTACCCCTTGCTACTCTGTATTTTCTGCTATTAGAAAATAGTTTGCATTTCTCTGAACAGAATTGATTACTTGTTTAACATCTCCTCTCTAGTTCCTCAGGTCTGACTACAAGCAATCAAAGATTCTGTAAATCCTGTTCATCCTGCTGCTCCATCCTAAGCGATACACACACTATTCCACCAGTTTTATCACAAAACAGAGGATTCCTCGGGCAGAACTGTGATTCTGGGCTACCTTCCCCAGTAAGTGTTTGGCTTACCAGTCTGATAACAAGTTTATAAAGGAGAGACACTGACAAAGAGTAACTAAGGCTGAAATCTCTTCCGCAGCTTTGAAGCTGATTATGTTTTGCCTCTTTTTATCTTCCGAAGCTAGATCAGATGATTATAAATTAGATTATATGATGTGGTGTCAGCAGTGGCAAGGGATTTGACTCAGTGGCCCAGGAAGCCTTTGAGCACTCTGCACAGAACTGCATGCAATGGGCAAGTATAAAATAAATAAAATAATAAATCCTGAAGAGGCTGTGTACATTTGCTATAAAATGTCATAACCAGGAGTGCTATGACCAGGAGTACTATGAAAGGTAACAATACAGATAATCTGTGAGAATATCTCTGTCCAGTATTTGAGCCAATCAGTAGAAGTAAACCAGAAGGGGCTGTAGTAAACTACACCTAAACTGTGAATCCTCACAGCATTTACCAGCTTCTGGAGGTGTGTGTAGCTCAGCTCTAATGGGAGGGGGTGAGTCAGAGGTGCGTGCTCCATCTGTCCTCCCCCCTCAGCTCCACCATCGTGGTTTCCAGTGAAAGAAATCCTGGAATTTTGAGCAAATAACCAAGCTGCATTGCACTGAGAGGTTCCCCCACTTTAGGCAATCACAGTGCTGTCTGTTGGGCATGACACGTATCACACCTACTCCATACGCTACAGGCAGTTAGAGACTATATTTCTTGCTCCCTCCTGGGAGACTGATGCCCTGGCAATTACAGAACATGTTTTAATGGAAAAGCAAAATGGGCAGAAACCTCTTATTCTCAGCTACAGCAGCAGATTTTCTGTATTTAGATTTAGTGCCTCAGTTGCATTCAGGATATAGTGTATGTAAGCTTGTCCAGAAATGTGTTTACGTGCATATGCTTACACAAATGCATGCCATTATATTCTCACTTCCATACATCATTTTGCTATTCACCAGATGGTATTAAGGCAGAAGAAGACATTGTAAACATGTATGAATATTATTTCTATTGTAATAAGGCCAGAAAGATGAGAAAACACAATGCCAGAAACTGGAAAACCTTAACTGATTCTTTTATATCTTTATTTTGCTTTTTTTAAGCTTCCTTCTGATTCCTTCAAGTATCTCAGTTGGTGTGACATAGAAGAACATGATGTACGAGGAAATCAGCTTCATTGTCCCCGAGTGAGAGAAGGTAATGATCAAAAAGACATATTCATGTTTAAGCCTTAACTCTATTTACACAAACAGTATGTCCTTAAATGTTAGGAGCTTAAATCATGGAGTTAGCCATTGTTTTGAAAAGGGGCAGGATTTCATCCCATATTGTACATGTTTACTTTTTAGTCACTAGGAAAATACCCTTAGTAGTTTTGAAAATGGGAAACAAAAGCCAGACCTATAATTTGAAAATTTTTAGTATTAGTGTGGTGTTGATTATTTCTCTCAGAAGTTCATTAACATTTAAATATTGTTCAGAATGCAATAGCGATATGCCAAACAAGAAGATGAGAGTGAAATCCAGTCCTGCATACAGTGGCACATGTATTTTATTTTAAGACTGAATTGGCCCAATTACAATCTACAGACACGCTCAAGAATGAGGAATGAAAGGTGGATTTTAAAATCTGGTGTTTGCATGTTTGGGACTAAACAGTTGAAAAATTCCACACTGTCCTTGCTTTAGTTAGGAATTTGAAGATGTGCATAGCTTTAAGCATTTCAGTAGACCCATCAACTTTAAGTCTTCAGCACGTGTTGTTCTTAATACAAACGAGGTTTTGAGTATGGCTGTTAATCCCAGTTGCAGTTGTTGTCAGTGGACTGGAAGTTACAAACATATGCCTTGCTCATGACAATTAAAGGATAAATACATAATCGCTATATAAACTCATAGCATGTGAAAGAATATATAGAAACAGAATTTCAGAACTCAGATGCTTATGCTCAATCATTTAGAAAAAGCTTTTATTCTGAGCTGTAGAAGAAATGTCATTTACTAACCGTGTACCAAATCATCACAACCTTAGATTGCTTGCTAAATTATGAGCCCAGAAATGGTAGAAAAATCTCCACATTAATTTACATCTTAGAAGCCTGGAAACCTATGCACCTGTAATATTATCTATATTTCTTCATTTCAGGTATCTTCCCAGCCATATATAAAATCTTTCAGCGAGTAACTAAGTGCCAGTTCCATGTCACATCCACTAGTGTAAATCTTTTTTTTCTGACCAGGGCCCTCAGAAGAAGAGCTATTTTTCAGAGGAGAAGAACATACTTTGAAAAAAAGAAAACAAGTAACTGACACAGAGAAGTGGCAAAAGAAACTGCAAGAGAACTGGGAAAACTGTGCTGTAAAACTTTCTCATTCATTCTTTGTACTGTAGTAGTAAATACGCCAAATAATAATGTGCCAGCTGCTCCTTGCAGTTAGCAATTTTAAAGCTCAGGTTGCCACCATGACATTGTACACCAGAAGTTTTTTGCAGGCTGGAAGACACACTGGAATATATTGTAATTTGGGTTCTGACCCTGTGCAAAGAGTAAACTCCTGTGTTGTGACAGGGTTTCATTTGTGTTTCGGCATATAAGAACTATGATGTTCTTTGCCTGCTTAGTGCCTGATGGTAAATGAATGGTTAGGGAATGGAGTAGTTTAATTTCAGCTCTCTCACTCCCTCCTCATAGCAGCCTGAGCAGTTCTTTTGGCTGGAGGTGCTACGTTACTGCTGGTTCTGATCAGCAGTGAGTTATAACCTCCCTGAGATCAGGTAGTAACTTCATCTAACGTTGAGATCCAGTGCTCTGGGTCATGCTTCTCCCTATGCGCGAACACTGGGGAATATTGATATGGGGCTACCGCACAGCACTTCTTTTTTTTCCAGATGAATTTAGAGGCCACACCAGTAAGCCACAATCACTCAGTCCCGCTTTCTCCACCCAGAGCACACACACAGAGGCATGCCCAGTCAAGAGGAAGGAGGGGCTGGGTAGTACGATTCACATGTTTAAGAGATGGTTTCTTTCTTTTTTACTTTCAAGGAATTATGCAGTGCATCACTATGATTCTAAGGTGAATTTGGCCATTGGCACCACAAATTGTTACAAGAGCAGCATAATAAAACAGATTCACCTTCTAACTAATTCTGACATTGAGAAGATTTAACGATACAGTTATTAGAAAGCAAGAAAAAAAAAAAAAGAAGTAAGTGGTTTCTCTTGTTTTTCCCTTCCCAGGAGTTGAACCTTTCCTTTCAGGACCTGGGTGATCTTCACCAGGTGGAAAACTTCAAAAGGATTCTCCAAAGATTAATTCGGGTGGAAAAACTTTGGTTGGTGGACAATTCTTTGACAGACCTAAGTGCCATAAGGTTGCCAAGGTAGACAAAATGTCCTGTTTCTATTTTTATGCAATATCATAGAAATAAAAACTATTATTTACCTAAGTAATAGCTGGAGCAGACTCTTGAGAGCTGCCAAAATATGATATTTTGGGGGATATTATATTGAGAATCCATCAGTGTATTCCTATTCTGAGTTCATGTCATTCCCAAGTTGAAAATACTCAGTAAAGAAGTCCGGTGATGTCTCCTTTATCCCTGGTGGATAATTCATGAGGCTCATCAAGTTCAGTGATATTATTGCTAAAAGGGAAAATTGTTGAAAACTGAAGGAATGTATATGAAGAGATGGTGGAACATAACCCAAGCAGAGAGGCCAGGTGTGAGCATGACAGCTATATTTTTACAATCTATCTGTTGCTATTATGTTGTCTTATGTCTAGGTATACGGAAAGCTGTGCTATTGAGAACAACAATAATGATGTATCCATTGTACAATATAAAGAAAGCTGACAGTATAAAGTGTAGGGATATGATCTTGCAGTCCATGGGTAGGCAAAAATAACACAAATGTAAAATTAGTGTGAAAGCAGGTCTCGAGGAATCAAATTCTTGTATCTCTCATTGGAAGCCCTAAGTTGTCATGACTTTGACTACGTGAAGAGCCATCCCGGTGTTGGCTTACAGGTAAATAATATTACAGATGTGATCAGTGATGCCATATGCTTTATACTTTACAGATGCAGAGAACTGAATGTCAATAAAAACTACTTTACATCCTTCAAACAGCTGCCAAAGATGCCTCAGATTCAGCACTTATCACTTGCTGAAAATAACATTATGACACTAAGTGGACTATCAGACTTCAGACATACTCCACTTGAATCCCTTATACTCAAGAGGAATCCCTGTGAATTTCAAGAAAGATACAGACAACTGTAAGTCTTACCATCTCATAGCCAACAAAAGTTGAACAGTACAAATAAATGATTGTGAGAGAGTTCAAAAGGAATAGGATCTCAAATACAACAAGCTCTCCCGAGCAGTCTTCTTATTTTCCCATAGTCTCAACTGTCATAAATGCTCCAGGAACATGGGCTGGTGAGCCAGTATCTGAGAATAGCCACAAAATATTCAGAAACTGCCTACGAGGTTTTGTAATTACATGACTAGCAGTTCTTGAACCGAACTAAGTCCATGGATCAAGTTTAGAGAGAATGACTAGGGCAGATAGATTAGATTCCCTTTTATTAATAGAAACTACCTATTACTCAAACTCTCTTCAAGTCTCTTTGCATCCCTCGTGTATTCTGAAAGGAGTCTAAATCGCATTGCATGTCAGAGATGGAATCAGAAGGATGTGTTGAAAGATGGGAGCTAAAGCAAGAGAAAACTAAGTTACCTTCATTTGATTTTTCTGGATTCTCCTCTCTCTGTGGCAGCACTGCGGAAGTTGCACTGCCTTGAACACCCCGCTCACTGTAGGTGTATGTTGCAGGCAGTGCAGTGTAGACTTAACAGAGCTGCCTCAGACACTGGAAATGAAAATTCAAATACGAGATAAGGGTAGAGAATTCAGGGGAAGATAATTTATTCTAAGTCTCATGCATGTTCTCATCTCATCTCATCTCATCTCATCTCATCTCATCTCATCTCATCTCATCTCACACCCCATTCCGTTTTTCCCCAGTTGCTTTGACTCCAAAACCCTGTTGCCAGAAAAAAATGGCACACAGAAAGGGGAACAAAGTGTGTTCCTTCTGAACTCCAGAAACCTGCATGGTTGCGTGTTTTTCCCCACTACAAACACAAAGTCATGGCAGCCATCTACAGAAGGCTTTGTTGATATTTTTGAGATAAACCTTACAGCCTGTGTCTAAGAAGTCCTGTCTTCCTGGGAGGAGGAAAAAAAAGAAGTTTAAAAGAAAGTGTTTAATGAAGACCTTTCTGAATTTCCAGTAGGCTTTTTCCTTCAGTCTAGTAGGCATCCCTTTGACAGTGTGATGGTGATGCTTTTGCTTTCTAAAGGTAGATAGGCAGATATCAAAGTGAAAGTTAAAAAGTAAACTTAAAATAATGGATTTCACATTTTATTTACATATCAAAAGGTTCAGGAAGAGAAAAGCTGAAAAGCACTTTTTAACAATTACTAATTATGCTTCTGCTCCCAATCAGTTCTTAAGGCAATTAAATATAGATAACTCTGCTATTACTTTCACTGCCAGTGTTGGAAGACAGAATGAATCATTTTCCAGCATAGATAAAGCCCTAAGTTACATGCCGAGATTGAGCACTGGAGTCCACGCTCCCCTCAAAAGGCACAGGAAAAAATACTATAGCATGTGGGTTAACACCCTGTGGGATGCTTATGGGGGGGCTACGGCTCCATCAACTCTTCCGAAGAAGAAAACAGCAGGCTTCATGACCGAGGTTAGAGATACCCATGTGCTGTTTAAAAGGGACACTATATTAGGAGGTAGAGCCATCCATTTTGGTCTGGCATCATGCCCACAAAACAGGGACTTCTTTTCTTTGGGAAAAACAGAAGTGCAAAAAGCTTTGCAGAGAGCCTGGTTTCTCTGTTGCAGAAGGATAAAAGCTGTTGCGCTTCCTGCAGTCTGAATCTTTGCTTTTCAGCAGTGTAGGAAATTCAGTCTAGGCTAACACTGTGCCCTCTCTTTTGCATTAGACAACTGATTTGGTTCTATTCTATTAAAAATGTAGATACTTGTAGTGCTTTACTGGGTCTAGGATATAAAACTTGTGCAACAGAGTGAAACCTGAACATTTTTAATTAGCTCTTTATCAGATAAATTCTGCAACAAATGACAAATCAAGATTTTCAGTCATGCAAATCTACTTTGGATATGTTTGAATCCACAGTTTGGTTTTTATCAATGTCTATTTTGTTCTCAACATTTCCCAAGATTATTTATCTCAATTTCTATTTTTCTTTTGTCTCTCTTTAAGTGTATTCTCCAGTTTGCCAAATCTGAAAATGCTGGACGGTATCCCAAAACTGCCAGAGGACTGTTCACCCCCAGATATCAGGTTTTTTTTCAGAATGTGTACTATACTCTAGCACTGTATTTTTGTAGGATCACAACTGTGCTAGAACCACCTCACTTAAGAGATACAATAAATCCTGTGTATGGAAGTTACTATTTTTTTCTGATCAAAGAGATATTGAAGCAGAAATATAATTTTTTGAATGCGTTTCTGATACCACAGACTTCAAGTAAGTATGGATAAATGATATGTAAATAAGACATAATGTGTATACTGAGTGTTGTGAGTTTGGTGTATTAAACATATTGGGTGACTTTCTTGTCGAGGAACTCTATGTAGACAACAACTTGCAATTATTGACTCCCACTGCATTTACTTAAAACGTGTCAAGTCCAGACTGCATGTTCATTATGGGAAATGGTACAGGGATTAGCATCCAGTCTGTGAAGAAGAGGAAAAAAAAAAAAAACCTGAATAAAAGTTCAGGCTATGCAGTTTCCTCCTTTATGTCCCACCAATGTCCTAGCTCTTTAATGCGCTTTGTAGATGGGCAAGGCGGAGCCACCCCAATTGTTTTGACCCTTAGAAACAAAAAATAATGCAAAAAGTCCTTGCTTGGGAATTTGGTATGGCTAGAGAGCACTGGGGAGATAAATCATGAAAAAGGGAAGAAGTCTTTTGACTCATTGCTGGCATTGTTTAGGAATGTCTTGTTGCTAAATAGGGGTTCCTCAAACCAAAGCCACAATGAGGGAAAAGAGCTGTGGAAGCTGGAAAGGGATTTGCAAAGGCTCCCCAGGATATCTGAATGCAATTATCTTTGAGAGGTATCTGTCCTTGTCTTTGATTCATTTGCTGTTCAATTTTAGCTTTTTTTTTCCAGGCAGCTCATGCTGGCACACAAATAGCTGTGCCCCTAATGGTTCAGGAAAAGAATGACAGAGTCCTGGAAAATGAAGACAATTAACAGAATTGCCTAATTCCAGAGACAGTCAATAAATTCTCTGCTGTGTATTGGCTGCAGGCACGGTTTGGTTCAGTTACATGGGGAGGAGTAATGACTGCTCAGCCCTGTAGAGCTCTGCAGTGCAATGACTTATCAGCAGAAAGGTCACAGCAGCTCTGTATAATGTCTGTATTGGATCCAGGCAAGAGAAACGACCAGCTTGAAAAGTTTCCAGGTTCTCCCTTAAGACCATCCTTACCTCTCCCACAGCCTAGCAGTCAAAACAGTTGATCAAAATACTGCGTGAACTAGATCACAAGGTTTGGAATGTATAACAGTATCTCACTCAAAGTCTTTTCTACAGCTGTGAAAGGCAAAAGACAACGGACCACTGCAAAGAGCTGTCAGGTTGAGGGCTCATGCTCAGGAAATATTCTTGCAATTCATAGAAGCAGGCCAGTTCCTTCCCAGTATTTACATGCTCACAGGGTCTGATAACTAGATGCAGTCAGTGTAGTCCACCCCAGCAATGGGAACAGACCACTATGACAAACCCCTCCGTAAGCACACTACAGAATCAAGAGGGTACGGTTCAACAATACACAGCAACAAGCTGTTACAGATTCAGAGAGAGGTGATGTGGTTTACGCAGAAACAGCAAGGCAACCAGAGCTTTGAAACAGGAAAAGCAGAACATTGTGTGCCATACAGCGTAGCAAACTGGTCCAGAGGAACCGGAATCTTTCACGGGGGGAGGATAAGAACAGAAAACCTGAAAGCTTTCTGAGGAGTGAGGCTAGTAGTCTACCACAGATCTAGAAATTAATCCAGATATAGTATAATAAAGTAATCAACATAAAAAACCACACTGTTGTGTTTGGGAATGGAAAGGCTAAAAACAAAGGATGAACTATATTATTCTCATCTGAGGATGTATGTGAAAAACACCATCTCCTCAGAAGCAAGGCAGGGAGCTAAAGTGGAGGAGGAACAGAGCCTGAAGGAGCACCCTTACTGACCCAGCCAGAGACAGACTGCAGCGATCAGCTGAATGCTGACTGCTGTGAGGCCGTGCGTCCGGAGACGGGAAAGGGAAACAGCCTTTTCCCAAGGTATCAGACGCTAAGGAGCATTAAAATCAGCGATGTTCAAATCACAGCAAAAAGCACTTGAGGACTAGGCTCTCTGCCCAGAATTCGGCATTAGAAAGTGAGACTGAGATGGGAAATTGCTCCAGTCCCGTGGGTAGACATTTCAGTTACAAGCTCCTAGTGAAGCTACCACCCATTTGCACATGTAATTAGGAGCTGGTTGAGTCTCTCCTGGGAACACGCTCAGAGGCTTTGCTCTTTAGACCTGAGTCCTGGGTCAGTCACAAGAAAGAAGCACAGACAGTGATTTATTCTTTCCGGACAGGAAGCCGGTTCTCCTCTCATAATTCTTCCTTTCATTATTTTAATGCTCTGGCTTTGGAATCCCAGAGAAATACGAGGTAATATCTGGGGAGCCTTGCTGATTTTATTTAAAGTGCATCCAGGAGCAAGAATGTACAGGTAATGTTTGAGTCACTTTGCTGCAATGAGCTTTAAATGAGATGTTCGCTATCAGAAATGTCACATGGGAAGCTGGGAAAAAAGAGCAATTAGGTTCCAGCTGTTTGACTGGACAACAGCCATAAGACCAAGGAAGCACACTGGACACATTTCAACGTTACCGGTCAACGAGAAACCCCAGGAGCAGGAACCTTTTGAAACTGGCCTCAAGTTCATGCCAAACTGGGGATAAAGTAATATACATTTTGGGTTCTAAATTAGATTATTACTATCTAACTTTCTTTTCCTGCCAAACTTACGCTCAGCTTCACTGAAGAAAATATGGGCCTGGAGCAAATTACTCTTAAGTTTTACTCCCTTGCTTTTCCACAGTTACGTTATGGAGTGGTCAATCTAAACCTAATCTCTGGCTTCAAGAAAATCTGGGAGGAATGGAACAAAAGCAGAGCCTTTATTTCACTAGAGCTTTTGAGATTTCATCTATTGTGACTGCACTCTGAAATCTAAAATAACAGCTACCTGTGAGCTCAGTGTCAAAGTATCATGAAATCAATTTCCAATTATTCACAAAGATTCCTTCAAACCTGACATTTCATGAAAATTTAGCAAAGTGTTCCCAAAGTCTTGTCTAACATCATGGGACAGGTCCAGGGCTGATAGTGCTCAGAATGGAGTTCCCAAGTCTCATTTTAACTGTCTCTTCATTTCTCATTGTGTCTAAATCTCTCAATACAAAATAAAAAGTGAGCAAGATCAAATCAAAAGACAGATTCCTTAAATGAACAGAGAGAAAACAAGACTTTTCATTTAATCCATTTATTATGATCCCAGGAATTTCAGAGCAGGGTTTACAAAATCTGTAAGTATTACAGTACCTGGGTCATGGAAGCAAAGAAAGTTGTAACAGAAAAGACATCATCAGCTCCTGATGAGCATTTCAAAGACGACCGTTTGCTCATATACACATTAACCTTGTACAACATGAAGCACAACCAACCTGTGTTCACATTGGTCCAAATTATTTGAATCACTCAGGAAATAAAGACTTTGAGCCAATACCCTTCTCCAGGACTGGGCATTGCAGCACCAGGATTAAATGTGAATACAGTGAAGAGGAAAGCAGTGGCTCTCCTTGCAAAAGGAGACCTTGCAAAAATGTCTTTTAGTTCCTTACACCGAGCTTCAGAGGCTGAGAGAGTGCGTCAGAGGCAAATCAGAGCTGAGCGGTTAAGCCTGTAATTCATCATCACGAATGTTAATGCAAATGGCTCAAGCCCAGATTTATACACCTATTTGGAGTAAATAACTTGTCAATGATTCCCTAGGGTTTAGCCTGCTTGGGCTGGAGCACGGAACGGTTATAAGGACATCACAAGTGGCTTCCTGAGGTCCTTGTCAACTCTCAGGTCACTGTAAGAAATTTGCCTGGCACGCACTTTGAAATATGCTGTGGGAAAGGATCTGGGTGACGTGGTGGGTCGCGGTGCTTGCTGCATCATCATAAACCATGAAACCGCTGGCACAGAGCGCCGGGCTCTGACAGTTTGCTGGCATCTCGCTGCACGGCAGGCTCCGCTTTGGCTGCCGCTGCAGGCAGCCTAGCTCTTCCTCCATGGACCAACTCGCATGTTCCTGTGGCCAGGAAGGGGATTAGTTTTCTTTTGTCTGCCCTGGCTTCTGCTCATGGTATTTGTGTGTTGGCGATGCCAGGACAGCGGTGCTCTCAGTGCTTGCTTATCTCCTCACCAAACACAAGTGACTACCAAAGTCCTTCCCACGTTAAAGTCAATGGCAAAACTTCCAGTGACTTCAAGGCTGCAGAAGCACAGCTTTATTCTGCTGTGTGGAGGGAAGGAAGGAAGGAAACTACTCACAAATTAGGGATTAGGTTACCAAAAAGGGCACTGTGAGGCTGTTAACCTTTGAGAAGCAGAACACTCTCCCCTTTCACTGGAGAACCTCATTTTGAAGATCCGAGTATATTAATTGGTTTTACCATTTCCTTCCTGACTGATTAAAATCAAATACCTTCTGGTCTATGTAAGGCCATTTTCGATCACTGCCACTTAAGTTTTGCTGTTCAATAAAGAACCTTCGGCATTTTTGATTATTTCCTTGCTATCAGCGCTAAAAGAAAAAATTAATTTCATGAATATACCGACATGTTTTGATCTATTTGGATACATGTATGAGATATGCAGAGGCACACTGGCAGGAAGCATGAGTGGAAGTAAGCTATTAAGATGTGTCAGAGCATTCATTTTTCATTTGTAATTTATCACCCAAGATATATTTGCTTTGGAATTGCCAGGTACCGTGCCACATTATGTAATTGAAAGCACTGAAGATAAGAAGGCCATTGACAACACATGCTTTGGATAAAAGCAGCTATAAAAATAAACATAATGACCATAACAGGGATGAGACAAGCATGTACAGTAACAAATTGGGAATGACCAGAAAGTTCATGAATACTCAAGCTACAGGAGACAGTGCAGTCAGCCTTGGGGAGTGAAATCCAAGCCAGGTTTTTTTTTCTTTTTCATACTCATAATTTTATTTTTACTATGTGTTAACATAATATATTGTCCATTCCTACTCTACACACATTTTCTTTCTAATAGATTGCTATAATTACTCT